CGCGTTATTTTAATATAACAAAATTTTACCGCATCTGCAAAATGTCGCCGCTTAAAGTTCGCGATTCCGCTTTAAAAGCAATAAAACGCTATTTGCAATCGAGCAAATCTGATGAGCTTTCAGTCGACGTAGAGGTTGTATCTACATACTTACAGTTGTTGGAGGAACAATGGGGACGGTTTTGTGAAGCCCAACAAGAGGTAGAGCTCTCGTGCGGCGAAGAAAACGTCGAGATGGAGGAGCAATCTCGCATTCAAGGCGAGGAGTGGTATGCTATCGCCAAGGCGAATTTCAAACGCCTTACTGCTCCGCTCAAGATACCTACTCCTCAAGCCACTCAAACTACGCCAGCACCTGTGCCGCTTCCGAAGCTGCAGCTACCATCATTTAGTGGCGATCCCACCGAATGGCTCACCTTTCATGACGCCTTTTGTTCGCTCGTCAATTCCAATGCAAGTCTGACGGACGGACAGAACATACAGTTAGTCTGTTCCAATAGCAGTCCGGTTTACAGGATTTAGTCAGAACTTACAGGAAGTCGTTCCTATTGACATAAAACCTGTAAGTGGGAACACATTTGAGAGAGTAACTGAGCAACTGTTCCTAGTCAGAAGTTACAGGATTTAGTCCGGAGTTTTTTTTCCTGTAAGTTCATGAAAAGTGTCAAACGATCAGCTGATTTACATGTGCAAACAAAAACAGAAAGCGGTGAAAGCAAAGAACCTTATATTTGTTAAAAAATGGAAGTAAACAACGAAATATTTGAATATGTATAGATTTTAATAATTATTTAGTGATATTTCAGCCAAATCAGTGTAGTACCAATGACATGTAAACAAACCGTCTGACGTTTTTACAGGAAATAGTGCTTTTTGCGTTCCTATGGACTTCTGCATCTGTTCTCCTTTTACTCTCATTTGAGAGCGTAAAATGGTAGTTTGACAGTTCCACAGGTTTTAGTCCGAAGTTCAAAGGAACAGACTAAGTATCTCCGCAACTGATTAAAGGGCGAAGCACTGGAGTTGGTAAGCTGTTTAGCAGTGAGTGACAGCAACTACAGTGAGGCCTGGGACTTACTGACCTCACGCTACAAGGTCATGCGGGTCATAGTAGACAGCCATATAAAAGCTTTAACGTCGAATGAAAAAGCAGCAAAGGACTCTGCTAAGGCCATCAAACATGTGCTTAATTTAACCTTGCAGCATGTTGGGGCGCTACGTGCACTCGGGCGGCCGGTTGAGTTTTGGGATGACTGGCTTGTCCACCTAACCGTGTCGAAATTAGCATACGAGACTCGCAAGCAATGGGAGTTATCGCTTGTAGCCGACGATTTGCCGACATTCGCCGCGCCACGTGACTTTCTCGAAACTCGAACGCGGTCTTTGGAAATGGTGCCAGCAGTTCCTCACAACGCAAGGACAACCGCAAAGAACGTTCTTCATACAACGTGCGGCCAAACCGAACCACAGAGTCAGGCATCGTCAGATAGCGCTAAAGCAGCTGCCTGTACGTACTGCAAAGGTGAGCACAGAATATATTCCTGTTCGAAATTCAGTCAGCTCGACGCAAAGCCCAAGCTAACAACCATAAAGGCTCAAGGTGCCTCCTTAAACTGCCTTAGTAAGGGCATGTCATCACAAAATCTCGCAGTCCATCATCATGTCGCATATGCCAACGTCGACATCACTCGCTACTGCACGCTAGCTTTAACAACCAAACCGGACAAACCGTAAATGTTACGTCGTATTATGCTGATGCTGAATGCATTATTTTATTGGCCACCGCTGAAGTTTATTTGGAAGACCACGCTGGTCGTTGGCAACCCGCACGGGCCCTACTCGACAATGGTTCACATGCTTCGTTCATCACTGAATCCTGCGTCCAACGCCTTCATCTCCCCAGAAGCTCATCATCGGCATGCGTTACAGGTATTGGCTCAATCCAAGGAGGTCGTACCAAGGGAGAAGTCAAGGTGCGTGTAGCTCCGCGGTCATTAAACTCAAACTTTCAAGTGTGTACGCTAATTTTGTCAAAAATTACTAATGACCTTCCAACCACTGCTGTACCCGCGTCACCGTGGCCACACACTCGTGATTTACCGCTTGCTGATCCAAACTTCTCCAAGCCTGGGCCAATAGATGTTTTGATTGGCATGGATGAGATGGACAAGTTTTTGCTTGAGGGCCTGAAGAAGGGGCAAAACGGCACTCCGATGGCTCAGAACACCGCGTTTGGTTGGGTGTTGTTCGGAAACGCTACTCCCTCACAAAGGCAACCTACTTCAATCTCAACGCTGCACTGTGACACTCAGCTAACGCAACTTCTCACCAAGTTGTGGGAACTAGAGGAGCTGCCGCCGAGAAAGTTTTACACGGCTGAAGAGCTTTATTGTGAAAAGTTATATGACAATACAACACAGCGTGCGGAAGATGGTCGCTTCATAGTACGCTTGCCGCTTAAAAAGGAAGTTCCGATTGGTGAATCTCGAAACGCAGCAGTTCGTGCAGGATGGAAAGGAGGTTCGTCGCCAACAAGCGCCTTCATGATGAATACAGCAAGTTTATGCAAGAGCTTGTCGACTTGGGTCATATGGAGCCAGCTGGTCCAGCCACTCAAGCTACCTACTACATGCCACACCATGCAGTGGTCAAGGATACGAGTGCCACTACTAATCTTAGAGTTGTGTTTAATGCGTCCATGAAGACATCGTCCGGCCATTCACTGAACGACGCTCTAATGGTTGGCCCTCAGCTATAACAAGATCTTTTCTCAATATTGATTCGCTTTCGCACGCATCGCTACGGTCTTATTGCTGACATCGAGAAAATGTATCGGCAGGTCTACGTTTCTGAGCAGGATATTGACTACCAACGTATTGTGTGGCGTGTGAACACTCTTCAGAGCCATTGCGTGACTACCGCCTTCTAAGGGTGACTTATGGGGTGGTCGCCGCTTCGCACCTCGCCGTGAAGTCGCTACACCGCGCAGCATTGTATGCAGGCAACGCTTATCAGAAGGCCGCTGAAGTCGTTAGATCCGACTTCTACATGGATGATTTGCTTACCGGTTCGGATTCGCTTCATGAGTTATCATCGCTTCAAAGGGATGTTTCTCTCGTGCTCTCTTAGAGCGGCTTCGAGCTCCGAAAGTGGGCAACGAATTTCCAACCGTTAAGAGATCAAATACCGCATGTGTCGAAGCAAACATCTCATCTGCTGGCTGACGGAAATGATATCCGCACTCTGGGCTGTATCTGGCATACAGACAACGACTCCCTTTCGATCGCATTTAATCTGGACGAGCCGAAAAGGCTAACAAAACGTGTATTCCTCTCCGACTCGAGTAAAATATTTGACCCGCTTGGACTAATCGCCCCTTGTACAATCCGCTCCAAAATATGGCTGCAGAAGGTTTGGCGATCGAATGTGGACTGGGACGAGTTGGTACCACCTGGCGTAGCTGTCGAATGGTTGACTCACTGACAGGAGCTGGCTGCACTTTCGTCGCTTAAACTAAGTCGCTGGATTGGCACTAGTTCCATTGCAGATGCTGAGTTCCACGTCTTCACAGATGCTTCCGAAACTGTGTATGCAGCCGCTGTTTACTGTCGAACACTAACTTCCAACGACAATGTGAACGTAGTGTTGATCGCTGCGAAAACAAGGGTCGCTCCTTTGAAAACTGCATCGCTGCCGCGGTTGAAACTATGTGCGGCACATCTGGGTGCGAAGCTAGTTCGACAGGTGCAATCAATCTTTGGCGCCAAACTCGAAAGGCTGTATGCGTGAACCGACTCAATGGTAGCGTTAGCGTCGCTGCAAGGAGATCCAAACCGCTGGTCAGTGTTCGTGGCGAATCGCGTCGCCGACGTACAAGAGGTCTTACCATCAGCACACTGGAGACACGTTGCCTCCGAACACAACCCTGCAGATTGTGCCTCAAGAGGCA